AAGCTGGACTCGGACATGCCTGTCTATCGTCCACCCAGTGTCCGCTGAACAGTCACTGCTTTCGAGGAAAATGCTTCTGCAACTGCGGCATGAGTCCCCGTGGCAGCGTCTGCGCAGAAGTGCCTGACACACCTGTCGTTGCAGCTGGTCCGCAGGAGACGCGAATTTTGGCAGCAGGTACAAACCCTTGAGTTTTCTTATCATGTTCACCTCAAGTAGTCACCTGACAGGTGTCAAATGTAGCCCTATGTTTCAAAGTGATGACGATATATGCGACACACAAGTTACTATAAATATATCCGGTATTATATACAATTTTTTGGCACTATTATCAAATATCGCGTTATCCAAATACTGATCGACCAAGCAGAAAAAAATAATGTTCCTTATTACGCTGGTCATTCGTCAAGTTTTGCTTAATCAGATCTCCCGCCACTGCTATCCGCTACCTTTAATCGTTCAACGGCTAGAATGTTCGTGCCAGCAAGGCTTAAGCGAATTCCTCAGGGATAATAGAGACGAATGTGCTACTCCTTGAATGTTGGACATCCTTGAGTGATCAGAATATCCATCACCCACCAAGAGGCATAAATAGGCATATCCCTTATTAACTAAAATAGCCGTCTTTTCGAGATTCATGCCAGGCTTTCATGATAATCGTAATGGCTTGCAAATGCGCAGCGTTATAGCAGCTCACCAGTCAGATCTTCTTCATCTGTGTCAAAAGTCCTCTTCCCGCAAAGACTCGACCATATGAGGATAATGACACATTATTATTCAGCTAGAGTTTCACTCAGATATAACGTATAACAAATTAGACTCGCCAGAACCGCACTATTTTCCATAAGAACACCAGGGTCTACAACATGTCATAACTATTGCTTTGGATAGTCAACGATCTGACTGTCTAGGGGAAATTGCAGCCCGATCAGACGCTTGTATGAAACAGCGCAGGCAACTGTCTGGTATGTTGTTGCATGATAATACCAGAGTATCATGTTGTTTTTGTTACTTATGGATCAACGATCCCTGCTACTCGGGTATCGGCTGGTTGCACCGAACAAATGGGATGGGGTAGGGCTGGATTCCTTGTGAGAATAAGCGGCTATGAGTAAAAGAGCTATACATGCTGAAATCTTCCGCAATTGGCATTATCATGTGGTCCATGAATTGCTGGTCAGGTCCATGCGCACCTACCACAATGCTATTTTTTTCAGCATATTCCCTTTAACAGGAACTTCGCTAATCGAGTCGAGTTCCTCCACATTTTTCTGTCGTTGGTTAGGTCTTCAGAGACTCGTCGCAGTTTCATCTCGTTCTTGTCGACATCATGTCACCTTTTCTTTGGTCTTGCTCTTCTGTTCTACCCCGGCAGTATCAGTGCTTGGGCCAGATTTCCAACTTACTCGATAGGGCTTTTTTCTGTTGA